AAAAAAAAGAACGAAACGTCAAAAAATAAAAGAAAATAAATAGAGGAACGTCCGCGTTTGCGTTTGCGTTTTGCGTTTGCGACTTATGTAGATGGGGCTTTAGTAATACGCGCTTTACATATTATTGTCTTTAGTTTCAAGTTTTTGTTAAAACTTGTTGAAAACGTTGTATTAAATGTTTTCTTTATGTAATAATATTCATTTTCTTTGATTTATTTGTTTACTTCGAAAAACAATTAATTTTATTTATATAACTTTCAAAGATTTCGTACAGAAATATATCCCGGAATAATACGTAATTCTCATGTAACACTATTAACTTTGCAATTAGAGTACAGAAAAGCATTATACTTTATTAATTATTTTTAATAACAAAACATGAAAAAAATAATTAATAATAAATTGACCAATAAAATATATACTAATAAAATTATAAAATATTGTTTCTGATTAAATAATAGAACAATATAATGAGTAATTATTCTTACACTTTAAATCTTTTAATCTTAAGAAATATTTACCTTCAGAAAACGTTTAATTTAATGATTCGTGTAATAAACTGAATAATAAACGTGTAATAATAATAATTATATACATGAATCCATATAAATATATATTTATCAAAAATCTTCAAATTTTCTTATAACTAAATGTTTATTACTTTTTATATTACGTTATTTTAAAATCAAACATCTTTTTTAAATTTCCTGACAAAATTTCTTACAAACTACTGAAATTATCGTCTTACACTACATTAAAGAGAATCGATAGAAAATAATAGGAATCAATCTACTAAAATTCTTATTACTTCTTGTTGTAACTATCGGTGTACTTTTTATATTTCTAAAGAAATGTTATCGTTTCCTATTATAACTTGATGAAAGCGGGTTTCATCGTTAGAATACAATAGAATTAATTTTTGGTTTTTCATCGTTTTTGTGGAATTTATTGTGAATAAACAAAATGAAATTTTATTATAATCAATGTGTGTTCACGTTAAGGATATCTTTCAGTATTCGTAATTACAAAAAAAAATGATAAAACATTTCCTATAGTTTTTTTTTATTTCTTTTTACTTCAGCGTACGTATAACTCGAGCATATGTGTAAAATATAAATATGTTTATCGGTCGAACAAAGATTAACAAAAAATTTTGTAAAATATTACTATTTCAAAAAACAAGTATCGATTTTTTAACAAAATCGTTAGAATTTAACATATATGAAAAAATAATTACTATATTGTAGGAAGTTATTGCAGTAATTGTCTTTCAACCAATAATCAGACAAATATTTAATATA